CTGGAGAGAGATCAACTGGGTTATTACACTGGTAGCTACACAGACTGGGTACTAGCTCCATTCTACCAGAGCTGAGGTCAGCAGCCACTACCATCAGTTCTGTTAGAATACTCGCTTCTGAACACTTGTTCTGAAAACAAGCATTTATTCCAATGTGACTGATATGTTAAGGAACAGTCTGATCATGGCAATATCATGTTTGCTTCAATGTGGTTTTATCGTGGAAATAAAAGTAACACAGAAAACTACACCCAGGTGAACAGAATTGCATAGGAATAAACAAAACACAAACCTCAAAACATCTGTCAAGCTGGTTACGTGCCACAACCACACAATCTGGTATGTGATGGTCCTCCTGCACACCTCACTTCCACTACCTCACAACAGCCCACACGCTGCAACTTCTGTGATGCCCACCAACACAGGGAAACTTGAGGCCTTTTCCAAAGAAAAACACCACCCCAGTACAGCATTTATGTATTTCACATTCTTCAACATTCATGAAAGTTTGCTACCATATGTGTATGTATGTTTTGGTCTTTTTGAGACAGGGTTTCCCTAGCTCAGAAAAAAAAAAAGACAAAAAAATTTTTTTTATTATGGTTGTGTATTCCTCCAGAGCCCAGAGGCCTTGGATCCCTCTGGAGCTGGAGTTGCAGGCAGTTATGAGAAAACTGATATGGGTACTTGGAACAGAACCTGGGTCCTCTGCAAGAGCAACATGCTCTCTTAATCACTGAGCCATCTGTCCAGTCCAGTTTCTGTATTAAAAAAAATGTATCACTTAAAAAAAAAACAAAAACAGTATCACTGATGCAGGCCATGGTAGCCCACACCTTTAATCCCAGTTCTTGGGAGGCAGAGGCAGATGGCTCTCTGGGAGCTGAGTCCAGCCTGATCTACATAGTGAGTTCCAGGACAGGTGGGGCTACAGGGAGATCCTGTCTCAAAAAGACCAAAAAAAAAAAAAAAAAAAAAAGTATCACTGATTGTTTCAAATGTTGCATTTCTTTCTCTTCCCCTGGAATTCACAGCCATTTTTCTGTTTCACCTCCCAAGTGGTAGAATTATAGGCATATACCACCACACCTAATAGGCACTGCATTCTAACTCTATCTGCACTATAAACTTTTTTTTAAAAAAAAAAAAAAAACAAAAAAAACATACATATAGGGACTGGGCGTGGTGGCGCACACCTTTAATCCCAGCACTTGGGAGGTAGAGGCAGGCAGATCTCTGTCAGTTCAAGGCCAGCCTGGTACATAGTGAGTTCCAGGAGAGCTGGGGCTACAGCAAGCCCCTGTCTCAAAAAGACCAAAAAAAAAAAAAAACCAACCAAACAAACATACATACAGGCATCCAAAGTGAGGCGGCAAAGGAAATATGCATCCCATGCTCCCCAAAGACATTACGTATGCCGCTTGTTAGGTTCCTGAGAATGTTTTTTTTTTTTTTAATTGAGTGATTATTGCAGTGTGGTAATTTTTAGGAATGCATGCTAACTCCAGCAGAACTGACTCTACTTCAAAACTAATCAACATTTACTTTCACCTCTCTAGGCTTCAGTTTCTCAACGTATTATATAAAAAGGAGACTGAGCAAGATAAGGTTCCTTCCAGACTACAATGGCATAATTTCAGTGTACTCTTTATTTTTATTTTATGGGTATATTGTATATAAGTGTATCATGTGCATGCAGTGACCACAAAGACCATAGAGGGCATGAGATCCCCCAGGACTGGAGTTAAGAATGGTTGTTAGTCACCATGTGGGTGCTGGGAACTGAACCCAGGTCCTCTGCAAGAGCAATCAGTGCTCTTAATTGCCAAACCATTTCTCCAGCCCACAGGTGTACCTTTATTTATTTATTTTTTGGTCTTTTTGAGACAGGGTCTCCCTATAGCCCCAGCTGGCCTGGAACTCACAGAGATCCACCTGCCTCTGCCTCCCAAGTGCTGGTATTAAAGGCGTGCACTACCACGCCTGGCCTCCACAGGCATACTTTTAAAAAATAAAAATCAGCACAGAGACCCTGTCTCAAAAAGACCAAAAAAAAAAAAAAAAAATTTATGAGGGGCCTGTAGAGATGGCTCAGCAGTTAAGAGCACTGACTGCTCTTGCAGAGGACCCAGGTTCGATTCCCAGCACCCCATGGCAGCTACAAACTGTCCTTAACTCCAGTTACAGGGAACTCCAAAGACCTCTTCTGACATCCATGGCACTGCACAACAAGGGTGCCAACATGGGTGCACTCACATACATGCAGGCAATACACTCATACGCATAAAATAAAAATAATATTTTTGAAATTATGAATAGATTTATCTACTGTTATCCTCTTTTCATTATTCATTTCAGACGTATTTACTTTTCTTTTTAGATGAACTTATTTAAGCATAAATTCATTCATGTTTTATACCAGGCATAGACAGGCCACATTCTTTTGGTTTATACTGTTTTCAGTTCAGTCTCTGAACTGTCAGAGTCATCTAAGTGGGACACACATGGCCCCAATTCTTTCCTAAGATTATCACAGAAGGGACATTAAATCAGAAGGTAGATAAGGGAGCCCCAAATGATAGCCACACACCAGCTTCATTAGCAGAGATCTAACTTAAGACTCACACTGGATTTAGAAAATTAAAACTTAAAAAAACTCCCTCTTCCTCTTAAATCATTCATAAGACAAATATACAATGGAACCAGTCTGAAGAAATATCCCTTTATGAATCCTGACACAGATCAAGGTCCAAAGTACAGTGCCCCAAGACTTCACTGGTGGGACCAAAACAGAGGAAATCCACTTAGTGTTCCACAGTGATAGAGAAATTTCAGCACCTAATACTGTTTCCCTCCAAAGCAGCACTGTCTTCTCTCCAGCTTCTCAAAAGAGTGATGGAAATGACACTAACCACTTCTCTGGCAGCCCAGCTAATACTTACCTGTCCAGTTTAGTTTGATGCTCCATTCATAAAAGAAGATAAGTTTGCCTTTTCGGTTGTTAATGGATGCCTCTCCATCCAGCTTATTCACTTCTGTCACCTCACACTTGCCCTCCTCATTTTGTATCTGGACTGCCAAGAATAGAGTTTTCAGCTTCTCTGTGGACCAATTTGAAGCATCCCTCTCTGTCCTGCAAAACAGAAATAGAGCTACAGACCAGCAGTCAAGGAGAGGATACACTGCTTCAAGAAAGAGAATGCAAGGTCAAAGGAAGCCTGATGAAAGAAAAGAAAAAACCCTCCAGTATGTCCACAAATGAGTCACTTTTAGGAAGCAAGGGGGTGGTATGTTGTCAAGTGCTGTACAAACTAGTAGAAAGTTATGGTCTCTCGTCTCAGATGCTTTAACATGACGCCCCCATTTGGTCAAAAGGAAAGGTGCACACACACTACGGAGGCCAGAGGAGCAAAACAGCATTTCGCTAAAATCCCAGGAGGAATAAACCGGCAATGCTAGCCTCATTAGCAGTGTTCTGACCTGTCATTCAGACTCTGCTATAATGCTTTACATATTCTATGCCCTCTAGACGGTGTCAAAAACTTAAGTCCACAACAAAAATTAGGTCAAGTACTCTATAGGTTTAGAGGAGACAAGTGAGAAAAGAGAAAATTCTTTCCCCTCCTACTAAAGATATTAAGTAGCAGCAAAACAAGCTGTAACAAAATAAAAACAACAGTATGAGGAAAGTTCGTGGAGCTGCAAATAAGTAAACACTGCTTCCGGAAGATTTTATAAAGACAACGCTTGTAAAAACGGTCAGGCTATATAAAATCATGACTGCCAGGCAACCTGGGGTTGTAACAGAACTTAACAGTTCCGGCTGGGAGGTTGCGTGGAGTTCAGGATCGCGGAGCTCTAAGCGCCTTGCAGAACACCTTCCAAAGGTTCTCCCGCTGGACCGAGGCAGCAGTCCCCCATGACTTTTACTTTCCCGTTTACCCGCAAAACAGCAATTACAGCGCCTGGGCCTTGAGACTTCCCCAGCAAACCAACACAATCGAAAGGGGTTTGGATCTCACTGGCTAACCCCGCCACGTGTAGGAAGTATCTCCCGACTCAGGCTGGATGCGGCAACTAGGGCGCTCGGATCTCTTCCCTCCCAAATCCCTCCTTCGGGACGCAGCGGTCCATTTGGAACCCCTCGCCCCCCCAACACAGCGATGGTGGAGACCGGCTGACACGACCCTTACCACAGAAAGGACTCGCGCCCAATCTCAGGGCAGGGCTTCCCGAGTCCCAGTTTTGTACACGCCAAGGTCCCGGGCACCCCCAAACCCTAGCCTGGACGCAATGCTCTTGCGGCCTGCCTTGCTGGCCCTCACCAGTGCCAGTTGTTGACGTTGGTAGCATCTGCACGCTCCTCCACGATCCAGCGTGGGTCTCCCTCACCCCACTTGGCCATCGGCTCTCTTATCACGCCGCTACTAGCTCCCAAGCAGCTGCAGCCACAGCCTCAGGACCGCTTGGTCCCAGCCGCCGGGCAGCGCCTGGAAACTACTAGAAGCGGCAGCAGAACCTCCTGGCTTGCTTTTCCCTCCACCCCTACCCCCTCCCCGCCTTAACTTCCGGCTCCTCCTCACGCCTACCGGGTACTTCCGTTCCAAATAGCCAAACGGTAGTTTCCGCCAGTTCTGGAGTTCCTTCAAACTCTCTTAGGTCATCGTCAGGGTGCTAAAGTTTAGTCCCTCAAACTACCATTCCTCACCAGTGGGTCGGGACACAAAGTACATGTCTCACTGTTTCCTTGGGCCCTAATCCGACCTGCTGAGCCTGATGGGAGTTGTAGTCTTGCTAAACGACCCTTTAGATAACTGCAGAAGGTCGACCTGAAAGTGAAGGAAATGACCTAGCACGGCGCGCTGGGTTTTCTGGGAATGGTAGCCCAGAAGCCTCGCGGCCCACTGGTATAGCGCCTGGACGACAGAGGCCAAAAAACTACAATTTCCAGGATGCTTTGCGGCAACTTTCTTCACCGTGTTTCCTCCCCACCCCCCCCCGCGACTGTCCCCTTTCCGCCCCTTCTTTATGCCGCACAGCCGGATTGAAAAGGCAGGTCCGGCGGCTGAGGCTGGCGCTGTCCTGAGAGGGAGGGCTCGGTGTGGAAGAGGTGAGGGTGTCCCAAGTCCCTGCCTGGGCAGCGGATCTGACCGAACCCACCTTTTTGACATCCTTAGTCTTTCCCTCTTTTGTCGGAGGGCTCTCACTCTCGGCCTTACTCCTCGGGTCGACTCTTGGGCGTCAGAGTACGCGGGGAGTTGGACTTCCACTGAGCCCCAGCAGCCGGTTGAGAGCCCGACATTGGTTCTGAACGAGCATCTATTTTCCCAGGGGACCCGCTAGGCTCTGGCGCTTGCGAGAGACTCATGGCTTCCTTGGACGTTCCTGTGTTAGCTCACGTCTCGGGTCTTTTTCCCAAGCCTCACCTTGAAACCTGGTCTGACTTCTCCGAGGCTGATTTCTACAATGCCCGGAGGCAGGGAGCGTGTTAGTTGTGGGGTTTTGTTTTTGTTTTTTAACTCTTCTGTTTTCCTACGTCATTTTCCTGTTCACCTCGCTGATCTTGGGAGCTCTCAGTACGAGTGACGATGAGATAGATCTCTGAAGCATTTTAAATCACGTTGAAGCCCCTTTTTTGGACACTCTTCAAATTATTTTGTTGTCTTTTTACTTGCCAAGTAAATCACCTTCTCATTTGGCACTAGAAGTACAAATTGATACTGTTAAAGATTCCAGAAATGCTTTCGTGGAATATTGGGTTTGTTCACATTCTCTGCTGGTTTATACCATTGTAAAGATCTGCCCTATTTTTCCCAGAAGTGAAAAACGTGTAGAAAGGCCATGCAAGCCAGTGCAGAAATAGTCCAAGAGCCAGAAAAGCTGGATTGTAATTTTGACTATGAGTTATTAACAAAGTTGTTTTTTACTTTTATGCCTCATTTTCGTAGTCAGTGGGATGAAAAGGGAATTTCCCAGGCCTACCTTAAAAGGATTGTCCTCAAGATCAAATGAATGACAGAGTTATTTATGAAATTAATTCTAAAGTCATATATGTTCTATACACACCCTCAACATGTGTGTCTGGCTTAAATTTTTTAAATTTAATTTTAGGATTGTTTTTAAAATGTCTATGGGGGGCTGGGAATACAGCTTAGTGATAGAGCACTTGCCTAGCATATGTGAAGCCCTAAGTTCAATTCCCAGCATTGAAAAAAATAAATTCCTCCAGTTTAATCAAAGATACCATGATGATTCTGTCAGGCAGTAAGTGCTTTACACACATCTGGTTTAATCCTCATAATTCCTATAAGGCAGGCCACCTGTTATTACCATTTTATAGATAAAGAATAAAGGTGTGCCAATGAGGTATCTGGGACTAAAAGGATGTAATAAGTGTTTATCTTCTGCTACACATTTGTTAGGTTTTCTGAATTCTGTTAATTTTTTACTGTACATCAGTAAAGGTAAGGTAGCATTTTCTTCAGGACTTAGAGCCATTAACCTTTTGACTTTGACAGTTTGTAGTTGGTGAGGTGCTGTGGAAGTTTGGGAACCTACTTTTGGGCCTACGCTGTAGTTTTCACTCTAATCCAGTTGTCATTGATAGTGTAGTTTGCTGTTTTAGGGAAAGTCTTGTTTTTGCAAAGTGGTGAGAGGAACTTGGGGTCTTTTTAAGTATTTTTCTTTCCTCAGGCATGGTCTCAGTTTCCAAAATTTGGCCAAGTAGTTAGCAAATAATCATGACTTGAAGAGACAGGCAGGATAATTCCACATATTTTTAGTTGCTTTGCCTTCAGTCATGTCAGGCATTTAAAAAACATACAGGGAGAGAGGGACACTTGCCCCTTAACTGTTGCAGTTGCTGGATATGCTAACTCTGTTGTATGCTCCTTCAGGAGAAAGACTGTGTCTTGTGCTTTCTGTAGTATTTTTTAAAAATATATATTTTATTATTTTTATTTAATGTGTACGAGTGTATGGCCTGTATGTATGTGAGTGCACCCCTGTCATGCAATGTTGCGGAGGTCAGAAGAGGGTGTCCGATTCCCTGGAACTGAAGTTAAGGACGGTTTGTAGCTGCCATGTGGGTGCTGGGAATCAAACCCAGGTCCTCTGCAAGAGCAATCAGTGCTCTTAACTGCTAAACCATCACTCCAGCCCCCTTTCTATCATTCTTATTGTACCTGAGAGAGTTCTTTGAATACAGTAGAGGCTCTTGCAGTGAATGTTTCTGGCTAACTAGAGAATCTAAAGTATGATCTGATGAGTTGGAAACCCAAGGATCTGATCTTTGTGGCAGGTTCAGAATTCTTTTCTTTTTCTTTTTTTTTTTGGTCTTTTTTGATATAGGATCTCCCCGTAGCCCCAGCTGGCCTGGAACTCGCTATGTAGACCAGGCTGGCTTTGAACTCACCGAGATCTGCCTGCCTCTGCCTCCTGGGTGCCAGAATTAAAAGGCATGTGCCACCATGCCCGGCTCCAGATTCTTTTCTGTATCCCTAATCTTTGGGAGCAGTTTGTAGTGGAATGTCCAGTAAGGGATGTATCTTTTTTTTATTCCAGATGAACAGGACGAAGGGTGATGAGGAAGAATATTGGAACAGCTCCAAGTTCAAGGCTTTCACTTTTGATGACGAAGATGATGAGCTCTCACAGGTAGGTTTCCACAGTTGCTGAACGTCATGCCTTACTCTTTACTGCTCTAAAATTCCTTCCCCTTTCAGCCTGGATAACCTAGCTTTTGACCATACTTTAGTATGCTCATAAATGTTTTGGGTCATACCCTCAGAAAAACTTTTGTGTTAGTCAGCTTCCACCACTTTAAGGAAATACTCCAGATAATCAACTGATCCAGAAAGAGCTTTATTTTGGCTCAGTTTCAGAGGTTCTAGACCATGGTCAGCCAGTTCCATTACTTAGGACTTGGGATAAGCAGCACATCATGGTGCAAACATGTGGCAAAGCAAAACAGCTGAGTTCATTGCCAGGTAGCAAAGCAGAATAGGACAGGGTAGCTCTCATAATCCCCTTTGGAGACAGCCTTCCATGGACCTAAGCACTCTAAGCTCCACTTCTGAAGGGTTCTGCTACCTCTCAATAGGGCTGCCTGGGGACCAAACCTTTAACAGACAGGCTTTTAAGGGCCATTCAGAATCCAAACAAATAGGGGCTGGTGAGATGGCTCAGCTAGTAAAGGCTCTTGCCAAAGGCTGGTGACCTAAGTTTGATCTCCAGAACCCACATATAGGTGGAAGGAGAGAATCAACTCCATAAAGTGGTCGTCTGACCTCCACTCATGCACCATGGCATGGCACATGTATACATACACATTATGTACACAAACTCATGGAGAGAGGTCCTTAAGAAAAGCCAGAAAGACTGTAAAAACCAACTTCACCCTTCTTTTACCTTCAAGAAATCCCAAGTCTTTTACTCATGTGATATAATTTTTTGTTACTATTATTATTTCTATTTACCTTTTTTTTTTGAGATAGATTCTCATGTAGCCCCTGCTGGCCTGGAACTCATTATATAGAAGACACTGAACTTCTGATCTTTCTACCTTCTTCTTCTTTTACATTAAAAAATTTTTTTTGTTACATTTGTTTGTTTGTGTGTGTGTGAGTCTATGCATGTGCCACTGTGTATGCGTGGAGATCGGGGGTCAGTTTCTGGGAGTCGATTCTCTCCTTCCACCTTGTGGAATATTGTAGGCCCCTGTTGTCTTTGTGTTTGTTTTGTTTTTCTTTTTTGAGATAAGGTCTCACTATGTAGCCCTGGCTGACCTTGAACTGTGTAGACCAGGCTGGCCTCAAACTCACAGAGATCCTCCTGCCTTTGCCTCCTGAATGCTGGGATTAAAGGAGTGGGCTATAACACTGGCTTTTTTATTTTCACTTAAAAAAAAATTTTTTTTTCATTGCAATTGCCTCCATCTCCTGAGTGCTGGGATTATAGGCATGTGCCACCATACGTGGTGTGTGTATGTGTGCGTGCGTGCGTGCGTGTGTGTGTGTGTGTGTGTGTAGTTTTGTTTTGTTTCATTTTTTTGAGACAGGGTTTCCTTGCATCTCCATCTGGCCTGGAACTCTCTGTGTAGACCAGGCTGGCCTCTATCTCACAGAGATCTACCTGCCTCTGCCTCCCAAGTGCTGAGATTAAAGTCTAAATATGAACCTGGTTTTTGTTTCCCATACACCTTACAAATATACATGGCCTGAAGTAATTTTTTTTGGTCTTTTTGTGACAGGGTCTCCCTCTAGCCCCAGCTGGCCTGGAACTCACTATGTGGATCAGGCTGGCCTCAATCTCACAGAGATTTGCCTCTGTCTCCTGAGATTAAAGGCGTGCTCTACCACACCCTTCGAGACTCTTCCCTTAGGAAGAGACACTTAAACAGAAGGCCCTCTCCTGCCTTAGGAGCTGAGTAGGAACTCCAGCCAGGTGCCATCAACATCCACATAGACCAGGCTGGCCTTGAACTCACAGAGATCCACCTGCCTCTCCCTCCCAAGTGCTGGAATTAAAGGCATGAGCCAACATACCCGGCTGATTGCTGTTTTTGAGATGGGATCTTGGTGTGTTACTTAGACTGATCTCAAATTCTTGGGGTGAAGCCATTCCTCTGCTTTGGTCTCCTTGGTAGCTGGAACTATAGGCACATACCACTATGCATTCCTAATTTATTTTTGAAGATGACCCGTATTGGAACAGTCATTTTTTGAGAAGTCATTGACAGAATATGATTAGAATTCAAAACTGGCTTTGATTCCTCCACTGGACTGCAATACTGTCTAAAATACAATTTGATTTCTATGCAAGTATCTGGTGGGCCAGATTTTGACTGCAGAGGAAACAGTATTGGCTATCATGAAGTCCCAGTTGCTCATTTAGAGAGGTGGGAAGTGATGACTGCCTGAGTACCCCGATTTATGTCCCTCTGTAGTTAAAGGAATCCAAACGGGCAGTGAATAGCCTTCGGGACTTCGTGGATGATGATGATGATGATGATGATCTGGAGCGAGTCAGCTGGACTGGGGAACCTGTGGGAAGTAAGTATGGAGTCTCTACCAGGGGGTTGATATTCAGGGTTCTTGTCACTAATGAAGGCTCTTCTTTACTCCTCAGTGCTAGTCAAGTAGCTAGACTGTTGTCAGATGATGTATGTCTGGAAGTTCAAGACCACGCAGAGATACTGGAACCACAGCAATAGTTCCCTATGGCTTTCTGGATCTGCTGTTCTAGTGCGAATGCTTTCATAGCAATTTCAGACTCGTTGGGGTACTTGTTAAAATTACAGAGTCCTAGGCTTTACCTTTGAGGTTCTTGTTCAGTAGGTATTTGTAGGGGGAGTCACATGTGTGTGCGCGTGTATGTATAATGGGAATTGAGCCTTATGCTCCACCACTGAGAGCCCTGGGTAGGCTCTCATGTGGTCATAGTTGGGAACTATTGACTTAATGATTCATAACTGGTTGGCAAAACTACTGTCCTTGGCCACCAAGTTTTATAGAATTATATAATACCACTTCATTTCTTCACAGAGTTCATCTGATTTTTTTTCCCTTTAGCCCCAGTTAAAATATTTTCAATTAAAAGCTTCCTTCCTTCCTTCCTTCCTTCCTTCCTTCCTTCCTTCCTTCCTTCCTTCCTTCCTTCCACTAGAAGGCAGTATAGCATGATTTAAAAACAAAAAGATTAAAGGCATACATTGATAAGTTTTCTTCCCACAGTGCTATGAGTCTTCTCAGTTCTCTGTCCTTGTCATCCCTAAAACTAGTTAGTGTTGCTTTGTTATTGTATAACCAGCTAAGGATATTTTTACACTTAGAAATGCTTATAGGAATACATTTTGCACCCATGATTATACACATATACCTTGGTGTTTTGTTTCTTTGTTTTTTTGTTTGTTTGTTTTGTTTTGTTTTGTTTTGAGACAATCTCATTCAATCTCACTCGAGGCTGGCCTGGAATTCACTATGTAGCCCTTATTGGCCCAGCCTCAAACTCGAGACAGTTCTTCTGTCTCAGCCTCCTGAGTGTTGGGATTACAGGTATAAGCCAGCATTACCTTGCCCCTTTGATGTGTTAATAAAATTTGGAGATCTTTCCATAGTAATATAAAGAAATTTCTGATGTATTCTTGACTTTTAAATAGTAGCAATATTACATTGAATGGATTGCCAAAATGTAATTAAATTAATTAATCTACTATTAATGAACTTGAGATTGTTGTATGTTCCCAGTTGATAACTGTATTCTGAGTAAAGGAAAGTTCAAGTCTCAGAATTACTGGACTAGGCTATCTGTATCAGTATTGGATAGGAATTGTCAGTTGCCTTTCATAGGAGCTGTACCAGTTTGTACTCCCACCAGCAATGCAGAAGGAAGGGTTCTGTTTCCACACAGCCTTGCCACACCTTATCAAGCTTTTTGTTCTCTGCCCATCTTACAGAGGACCAAGAGTATTTCATTGTACTTTTAATTTGTAAGACTGTTATTAAGAGTGAGCTAGAGAGAGCCGGGCATGGTGGCGCACGCCTATAGTCCCAGCACTTGGGAGGCAGAGAAGGCAGAGACAGGTGGATCTCTGTGAGTTCAAGGCCAGCCTGGTCTCCATAGTGAGTTCCAAGACAGCTGGGGCTGCAGGGGGACCCTGTCTCAAAAAGACCAAAAAAAAAAAAAAAAGAAAAAAAAAAAAAGAGTGAACTAGAGAGAAAATACACGCATGACTTGTTAAGTGAGTTATACTAATAATTGCTCAAGAAACGAGTGAAGTATCTTCATAGATTTGAAAGCCATTTGGATTTGAATTTCCTTCTCTGTGGTCTGTTCATTCATTCCTTTGCCCATTTTCCTGGTGATTAGTCTATTTGTCTATTTGATGATACCTTTTTGCCTTGCTTCATGCTGGGCAAGGGATCAAGAGTTTGTTGATTGTTGGGTGTCAGGGATTGATTTTAGAATAGGATTACTGATTTAGTTCTTACCAACCTGCAGGTATTTCATGGTCCATCAAAGAGACTGCTGGGACTAGTGGGTCAACCAGTGAGGGACGTGAACACCTAAAGAACCGAAACAGCTTCTCCTACACACAGCTACCCAAACCTACTTCTACCTACTCCCTGAGCAGCTTCTTTAAAGGTAAAGAGTGGAGGGTAAGGGACAGGAAGTCCTTTGCTTTTATCACAAAAATGCTCGGGCTGAAATTTTCATTGACTGTTGAAGAATTATCATTTGAACAGGCAGCTTAGTATTAGGATTAGGAGAAGTGAGAAATTCATAGGCAGTAGACTGGATTTTTAGAACATGATCAATGAAATTGACATTAACCCCTGGCAGGTATGAAAGAAATTTGCCTAGATCAGAATTCCTGCTTACCCTTTGTGCAATGCTGTTGGGATCCCTTGTGTATTGCTGGTGGGAATATGTAACTGTGTAGCTACTGTGGAAGACAGTATGGCATTTCCTCAAAAATTTAAACATAGAATTACCATGTGAACCAATAGTTTCACTTCCAGTACATACCAACGAGAACTGAAAGCAGGAATTTGAGCAGATATTTATTTGTACATTAATATTTGAGGAAGCAGTACTCACAACAGCCCAAAGGATTGAAATAGTGTATCCATTGTGGGCTGAAAGGATAGACAAAAAATGGAATGTACACACAAAGAACTATTAGCCTTAGAAAGGAATGCACATGATATGTCTTACAACGTGGATGAGCTGTAAAGTCATTATGCAGAATGAAATAAAATCACAAAAGAACAAAAGTATGACTCTACTGGTATGGATATACTGGAAGACCTCATAGAGACAGGAAGTAGCATGGTAGTTTCCTAAGGACTAGGGTGGAGGGAATGGATAGAATCTCAGATTGGGATGATGAAAAGTTCTGGAAATGGATGTTGAGATTGTAGAACAATGTAAATGTACTTATTGCCATTGAATTCTACATGGAAAGAAGATGAGAATGTTGAATTTTATGTTATTTATATTTTAACCACACTGAAAAAAATTTTCTCCCTGCCTCCCCCTGCTTTAATAGCACCTCAGGTGTCTGAAGTTGAGTAAAAGTTTTTTTGTTTTTTTTTTGCTCTTCTCTTTTTTTGAAACAGGGTCTTCCTGTAGCCCCAGCTGGTCTGAAACTCAGTATGTAGACCAGGCTGACTTTGAACTCACAGAGATCCACCTGCCTCTGCCTACAGGCGTGTTCCACCATGCCTGGCAAGTAAAAGCTTTTTTAAGGCTAATTCCTTATATTGCATGATAAGGCTCCTTATACCCTCTGACCTTAGCCAAGTCTGGATGGTCTGACTTGAACTGTTGGCCTCTTCCGTCTGTGCTCTTTCTCCTTAGGTAGAACTAGACCTGGAAGTTTCCAGTCCCTTTCTGATGGTAAGTATCAACTCCTTTCTTTTTTGTTTTTAAACTTTATTTTTATTTTATGTGTATGAGTGTTATGCCTGCATGTATGTAAGTGCACCCATGTTGTATGTACAGTGCTCACAGATGCCAGAAGAGGGCATCAGATTCCCTGGAACTGGAGTTATGGATGGTTGTTAGCTGCTATGTGGGGTTTGAACCCAGGTCTTCTGCAAGAGCAGTCAGTGCTCTTAACCACTGAGCCATCCTTCCAGCCCTGAGACTCTTTTCTTTTCTTTTTAACATTTTTTTTAATTTTTTTTTTTGTTTTATGTGAATGCATGTATTGCCTACATATAGGTAAGTGCACCTGTGTCTTGCAATGCCCGCGGAGGTCAGAAGAGGCTGTTGGATCCTCAGGGACTGGAGTTATCACCAGTTGTTAGCTGCCATGTGGGTGCTGGGATTCGAACCCAGGTCTTCTTCAAGAACAGCCAGTGTTAAGCGCTGAGCCATCTCTTCAGCTCGAGACCCCTTTCTTGAATGCTCTAGAAAGTGTTGCTGATTTATGGGACAGCCTGAATAGTCATGGAGATAAGTGGTAATTGGATTTCCTCTGACTCTAGAGAAAGTTTCTGGTACTAAGTGAGGAGGTAGAAGTCACACAGGTCACAGGGCAGGAGGTAACTGCTAGGGCTAGCGAGTTGGTTCAGTGGATGAGACATTTCACAGGTCTAACAACCTGAGTTTGATCTCCAACCCAAGTTGTCCTCTCAACCTCCACATATGCTATGGTGCGTGCACGCGCGCGCACACACACACACACACACACACACACACACACACGGCATGTGGGAAGGAAGCAGAAGGAAAGAATGACAAGAAATAGGCTTTATGGTGCCTTCTAAACCAGCTTCTGGTTCCTTTGTAGCTCTGTCGGACACACCTGCCAAAAATTATGCTCCAGAGCTGGGGAGGCCTAAGGGAGAGTACAGGGTGAGTTACGTAATTTTTCTTCTTTCTTTTTTGTTCTGTCCATTATTTACTTGTGTTTTAAAATTACATTTTGTCTTTCTGCCATTTGAGTCCATTCTTCAATTCTTTATGAATGAGACTAAGAACCCTCTAGGGGACCCTCTTCCCTGTTTCAGTACAGGTCAAAACAATGGATATATGGTATCTTACTTTAATTAAGAGACAAAATGACCTCCAGTAACAGTATGTGAAGGTGCTTTGCAAACAATGAAAGACTGGCACCATCCTTTGAAATGTACTGGAAAAAAATTGATTTTGTACCTTTTGTACTTTCAGAATGTATGTAGCATTATCAGAAACCCTCAAAAAAAATAATATAATAATAATAATAATAATAATAATAATAGCTTCCTCAATCCAGTGGTCATAATATCATCATACTTATCTATAAAACAATCATTACTTCAAATCTATTCCATAGACCTTTGCCCAGCCATCTAATTATATCCCTTTCTCACCTCTTCTAAACTTCTTTCTTCTGAGCTAATAAAGTATTTTGTAGAAAAAAAATTACATTTTGTGTGTGTGTGTGTGTGTGTGTGTATGTGTGTGTACTCACACCCACTAGCCACATGCCATGGCATGTATGTGGAGGTCAGATGATAAATGTGGGCATTAGTTTTCTCTCCTTCCATCACCATGGTAGTTTTTTTTTTTTTTTTTTTTTTTTGATCTTTTTGAGACAGGGTCAGGGTCTCCCTATAGCCCCAGCTGGCCTAGAACTCATTATGTAGACCAGGCTGGCCTTGAACTTAGAGAGATTCGCCTGCCTCTGCCTCCCGAGTGCTGGAATTAAAGACATGCACCACTACACCCAGTCACCATGTTGGTTTCATAGATTAAATTCAGGTGCCTTTCCTGCTGAATCATCTCACCAGCCCTTATTGTGGTTTTGTGGGGTTTTTTTTTTTGAGACAGGGTCTCACTCTGTAGCTCAGGCTAGGCCTGGAACTCATCTGATAGTGAAATTTATGGCAGTACTCCTACCTTAGCCTCTTGAGTGCTGAGATTATAGTTGTAAGTCACCATGTCCAGGACATGTCCAGCTTGAGTTACCCTCTTTTGATTTCCCTCCAGCTGAGACATGCTATGTAGACCAGACTGGCCTTGATCTCTCTGCCTGTCTCTGCCTCCTGGGTGCTGCTGAGTTATATCTTAGTATTGATGTGTTACTTAGTATAAAGTACCTTGACCTATGTTTCCCTGCTTAATTTTCCCAAGTCTCTGAGTAGCTGTTACAGTTGTGTGTCAATGAGTGACAGGGATACTTCTGAGAAATGAATTGCTAAGTAATTTCATCTTTGTACAAACAGGATGTGCTTACACAAACCTAGATTGTATAGCCTATATTATACAACTATTGTAGGCTATAAACCTGTATTGCCTGTTACTACCTGAATACTGTAGACCATTGGGCATAATGACTAGTTTTGTGTATCTAAACCTAGAAAAAGTATAGTAAAAATACTAGGCAAGGGCAAGGGGCTAGAGAGATGGCTCAGTGGATAAGAATGCTTGCTGTACAAGTATGAGGACCCGAGTTTGGATCCCCAGCACCCATGTAAAAAATCAGACATGGCTGCATGAAACCCCAATGCCATGAGGAACAGAGATAAGAAGATTTCAGATAGTCACTGGCCACCAGCCTAGCTGAAAAGTGGCAAGCTTCAGGTTCAGTGAGAGACCCTGTCTCAAGGGAATAGGCAGAGAGACCTTGAACAGGCCACCTGGCATCCTACACACATACACACACACACACACACACACACACACACACACGCACGCACGCACGCACGCACGTGCAGTAAGAGTTTTTCCATTCCATTATAATCTTACGGAGCTGTCATTGTATATGGATTGACTGAAATGTCATTATGTACCAAATGACTGTATTTCCACCCCCTCTTATAGGTGATAAAACTGAACTTCTCAGCACTAGGCCTTAGTTGGGTCTCATAACTAGGAAAGGCTAAAACTTGGGAGTCAAAGTCTATACTTTCTGAGTCTGACTTTTCTGCTCTGCTGCCTTTTGGAGGCTCTACTGATGATAGTCACTGCAGCCTGGAAGATTGGTGGAGCTCATATTCCCATGAAGTATATTTAAAAAGCAAATTGATTCGAAAGGAAGAAACTATAGTCTAAGATTAAAAAAGGAATGTGTCTCAAGTTTCTCTTTCCTTCTCTTGGCTAATGATATTGACTCTTAGGCTCTCTGATTGCTTCTAGGGTTTGAAACCCTGAATCAGTAGGTATAGAGTTATGAGCTTTGCCAGTTGCCATCCCTTTTTGATCCATCTCTTACTGTCTGTATCACCCTTGCTTTAGTTCCTTTAGAAACTCAAATCAAGACCAAACTCAAAACAAGACTATTCCAGTTTCATTTTTCTCATCAATTCATTCTGTCACAACATTTCCTTCTTAGAGGCAGAGATAGAATTTAGGTGAGGAGCTGGTATACTGGTAATTCTGATCCCTTAACACATGATCCGTGTGTTGCTAATGTTCCAGGATTACAGCAATGACTGGAGCCCCAGTGATACAGTGCGACGCCTCCGGAAAGGCAAGGTAAGACCACTGGAAAGAAACTTCTTGTGGGAGTCTTTGGCAGGATAAGTACTGTATTCCCACAGAAAGGATTTCTTTATTTCTCTCTTCCATTCCAATTTGCTAAATGAGGTGGTTTTCAGGAGGAAAATTAATCCACTAAGGTTAAAAAGTTAGCTGCAAAATCTTTGACTCCAGGGTTTGGAGTTGCTTGGCTAGCATAGGGGAGATATCAGTAGATGAGAGAGAAAAGATTGTGTAAGAGTGAAGGCAGCCGGTGTGGTAATACACACCTGTAACCGTAGCACTAGGGAGACTGAGGCAGGGAGATTGCAAGTATGAAGCCAGCCTGGGCTATGGAACGAATTTGAGGCCAGCCTGGGCACATGGTAGAGGCCCTGTCTCAAACCTGTTCTTATCTTTATGTTTAGATTTATGATCCATTTTGAGTTATTGCTTGTACATGGTGTGAGAGAAGCATTGAGGTTAATTTCTTTTTCCATGTACATCCCAATTTGTTTTTTTTTTGTTTTCAGCACAATTTGTTGACAAGACTTTTTCTCATTGAATTTTGGGGGTATTTTTTTAAAAAATCAGTTATTATTTATATGTAGGTATTTTTCTGAACTCTATTTTGTTTCCTGATTTGACTCTCCTTATGCCAATATTACAAACTTAATTATTGTAGCTTTGATAAATCAGGTAACTGTAACTCTTTTAAGGCTTCCAGACTTCAACTCTGTTATTTACTTCCAAAATTATTTGGGCTATTCTAGATCCTTTGTGTTTTCTTATAGATTGTAATACCCATTTGACAGAGTGTACAAAAGAACTGTCAAGGTTTGATTGGATATGCATTGAATCTGTAGACTAATTTTGGGAAATTAACATCATAATAATTAATGGATCATAGACCTAAATGTAAGTGTTAAATTTATAGAGCTCATAGAAGGAAATATAGGTGAAAGTCCTGATGAGCTTGGCTTAGACAAAGATTTATTGCATAGGACACAAAAAAATATAAACCATAAAAGAAAAAGAACTGGCGGCTGGGTGTGGTGGTGCACGCCTTTAATTCCACTGCTTGGGAGGCAGAGGCAGGTGGATCTTTGTGAGTTCAAGGCCAGCCTGGCCTACATAGTGAGTTCCAGGACAGCTGTGGCTACACGGAGACCCTGTCTCAAAAATACCCCAAAAATAAAAAAAATTAAAAAAATTGTTAGATGGACTTCATCACAATTAAAACCTTTTGAATTTTGAAAGCTCTGTTAAGCATGAAAACTAAGATTATTTATTTATTATTTATTTATTTATTTATTTATTTATTTATTTATTTAGGCTTTTCTTTTTCATTTTTATTACGTGTTCCATAACATATTGCATGCTATATAATATACTGTGTAGCCTTTTGGTGGGAATAGTTGAGCATGTTGAGTTATTTTCTTCTTCAATCAGGAAAATCTTTCCTTAATCAATATTCTCCAAGCTCCATAGTAGCTGTTGACTCCAGAGACATGCCTATCTCGTTCCATCAAAGCCCATTGATATGGAAATTGAGCAATTCTTTTTACCTTGCCCGGGTTACTAAACTTACGGATGTACGCAGTGGTCACTCGGGATCATCAGGCATGATGGCGAAGCCTGGGAGAATCTCGAACCACATCTCTGCACAGTGAAACATACCTCAAACCCTATCTTTCGGATCCTCAAAGGTGATCCGGTTTTGCCACCTTTTCGGATAAAACATTTATAAAGTTTATATTACAGGGCTAGGGAGATTGCTCAGTGGGTAAAGCACTTGCCCTGCAAGTCTGACAACCTGAGTTTGGATCCCTAGAACCTACATAAAACCCAGTCACAGTGGTGTAAACATATGTAACTAGGAGATGAGAGGCAGGACAGGGGAACTGATGAAGCTCTTGGGCCACTTGCCTGACATATGCAAAGACATTCTGTGTCAGAACAAGGTGACAAGGCAAGGACTGGTACCTGAAAGTTGTTTTCTGACCACCACACACTTGCCATGGCATTGTGTACACACAAGAATATGCACACTCATATATATATCTCACACATAGAAACTGAGGTTATAAAAGACTTGTCCAGAATTCTTAAAATTTGACAGTAAGAGGCTGGGTGTAGTGGCGCACACCTTTAATCCCAGCACTTGGGAGACAGAGGCAGGTGGATCTTTGTGAGTTTGAGGCCCTCCTGGTCTACATAGTGAATTCCAGGACAGCTGGGACTACAAGGAGACCCTGTCTCAAAAAAAGACAAAAAAAAAAAAAAAAAAAAAAAAAAATCAACAATAAGAAGATAGACAATCCACAAAACAATTGGCACAAAATATGACCAGACACATCACAAAAGATACATGATTGATAAAATGGTCACTATTATAGTTATCACAAAAGTATGAATTAAGGCCTGAGATGTAGCTCAGCGAGCACTTATCTAGCATGTGTGAAGCTCTGCGCCCACAAAAGATAAAGTATAAATTATACCAAACACTGTGACACATACTGTAATCTCAGTTACTGTAGAGGTCAAGGAGGGAAGATCTCAAGTTCAAAGCTAGCCTGGGCTATAGAGCAAGACTTTGTCGAGAGAGGGAGGGAGGAGAGAGAGAAAGAGAAACAAGTCATTTTAGTGATAGTTTAATGGTGTTATCACATGGTTTTTTGAGACATGGTGTCATTGTGTTGCCTAAGCTAGCCTCAGACTTAAAATCCTTCTTCTGGGATTACAAGATGTGTTCCAAGGTGCCTAGCTAAGGGTAAATTTTAAAGACTTTGCAGTATTATGTGTTAGAAGGATAGACTAAACCCTTATACTTCGCTGGTGGGAATATACAATCATAAGATTACTTTTGAGAATAATCTGGTGGTTTCTTGCAAGGTTAAACATATATTTATTACATAACTTAGCAGTTTCACTGTTAAACATTTGAAGCCCACGATAAATTAAAACAGTTTCTAAAAAGATTTACATGAAGGCCAAGCATGTTGGCCACATGCCTTTAATCCCTGTGCTCGGGAAGTAGAGGCAGGCAGATCTCTGAGTTTGAGGCCAACCTCATCTATAGAACCCAGGCCATCCAGGGTTACATTTGAGACAGTAAAACCCTGTCTCAACAAAAAAACAAAACAAAAAAGATTTGCACTGATGTTCAGTGTAGCTTTGTTATAGAGGCCCCCAAAATGGAAACTACCCAGATACTAATCAGAAGGTAAATAGATAAACTGTGGTATAATCGTGCAACAGAAAACAAATTGGCAATAAATAGGAATAAACTGGTAATACCATGACACATGGTTTCATCTCAGAAACATGGTGTTGAATGAAAGAAGCCAGTTATAGGAGTATATGGTAATAGGATTTTATCTTTGTGAAATTCTAGGAAAAGCAAAACTACAGTGATTAAGAACAGATGAGTAGTTGATGAGATAAGGATGGAAGGAGGGCATTAATGTCAAGGTGGACAAAGGGACTGTTTTCAGGTGATGGAACTGTTTTGTATGTTTGTTGTAGTGGTTACATGGTTGTAGGCACTTTGCAAAGCTCACTCAGCTATGTACTTACATAGGGTGGATTTTTATTATAGGAACATGAAGAAAGAGTAAGTGATTATCCTTTGAGTTTGTCAAGATTTGAAGACATCAACATCCTATAGGGTATCACATTGAACTAGAGGGTGTGGTGGGAACCTGATATCTGGCAGAGCACAGGGAACCAGGGTGTAAACACAGACGTTCTGTCTGGGGATGGTTCCTTTCACTCCTGCCCTTTCCCTCACTATCCGGTGACAAAGGAACACAAGAAGTAGTCTTTCTTACACATTCCTTGTGTTCTTACTCTGCCAGATCTGCTCACTGGAAAGATTCCGCTCCTTACAGGACAAGCTGCAGCTCCTAGAGGAGGCAGTAAGCATGCACGATGGAAACGTCATCACTGCGGTAAGTGTGGGGTTTCCCTGTTGTTTGTTTTCATTAGTTTATGAAAACTCAATCAAAACAGACATAACATTTTAGGTTAACTGTCATGAAAGATTCCTGAGGCTAGGCTTCTCAGCAAACTGTGTTCAAGGTCAGCTGGTGGGACATGCATTCTACATGGAATTCTTGAGTGTAACCAGAAAACAGAAGTCTGGCTGTTCTGTTACACAAAGTTTTCTGACAACAGAACTGTGTGAGAGCAGTCTCTCAACAGGCGGGGGATAGTGTCTCAGCCAGTTTAGACTTGGTCATGTGGGCACCCAGGACACAGCACAGTTTCAAAAGTTCATCATTTCCTTCCGTCCTGCAGAGAGGGCTATCATTTACTGCAGTGGTTGCTAACAGGATGTGCTTATTCCTAGACGTCAGGTATGTGGGCAGTCTTTGTGTTTGAAAAGCTGTACATTTGTCCCCTTTCCTCTAGGTTCTGATCTTTTTGAAGAGGACCCTGAGCAAAGGTGAGCATAGTTTAAAGTGAGTCTTAACTCAGCACGGTATATACCACATTGAGGGAAGCGTGGCATTGTGGCTTTCATACCAGAATTCACCAGGATCAAGTCTGTATCAGAAACAGCTGGAATAGCCTGGGGCTTAACACATCATACCTCTGAGGGCTGTCTTCAGGGTGGCAACTATATTAGCCACCTCTCAATTTGTTTGCTACACACATGGCTGTTTGAAGAAATGTGAATCCATGCCAAGTGCCTACTGTTTGTGTTAGTGCGAACTGAAAAGCTGATTCCATGGTTCTGAGTTGCTGGGGAGCCTAGAGGCTGTTGGTGGTGGGTTGTAACACAGGGGTAAACCATTTTTTGCTTTCGCTGGTCTTTTAGGAGATAATGCTTAGGATGTGTGAGTGGAGAGGCCATTTTCAAATCTGAATAATAGGAACTTTATTCTTTTCCCCATCTAACTTCTTCCCACCTGCCAGAGATCCTTTTCCGAGAGCTGGAGGTACGCCAGGTTGCCCTGAGACATCTCATTCACTTTCTTAAAGAAATCGGGGACCAAAAGCTACTTTTAGATCTCTTCAGGTAAGAAGTGAGTTTCTGGTCTATACAGTTTATCAAATGCTTTTTCAGAACACTCTGGGGCCTGCAAAGAAATTGAAGACACTGTCCTTTTCCAGAAACATTTAGAAAACAAGATACTTAAATGTGATGGAATAATTAACAACACCATATGGTCTATAATAAGGTGACAATAGATTAGGGATGTTAAGAACCAGGCTCTGCAGTCAAACACACCTGGACTGAATATGACTGCCACTATACTGTGATCTTGGGCAGATTACCACATTTCTTTGAGCATAAGTTTTTCCATTTATGAAATAGGGGTGATATCTACTACATGGGGTCATTAGAAAGACTGGCAGTGAGTGAATTAGTACTTACTTGGTTTATGGCTATCTGCTGTGTTAATGTTTGCTAAGCATTTTCTTATAAAAGACCTGGAGTAAAAGTGGCTGTTTTTTTTTTTCTTTTTTAGTCTTTTTGAGACAGGGTCTCCCTGTAGCCCCAGCTGTCCTGAAACTCACTACGTGGACCAGGCTGGCCTTGAACTCACAAAGATCCACCTGCCTCTGCCTCCCGAGTGCTGGGATTAAAGGCGTGCACCATCACGCCCAGCAAAGTGGCTGTTTTTTACTTGGTCAAGAGATGCCAGTATGAAATACAGTAGAGAAGAAGGAACTGTAATTTTCAGTCAGGATTCCCCAGGACAGTCTCATAGAAACAATTAGGATCTGGATTGACTTCTGAGGCTAGATGAGAGGTAGGCTCTCTGCCTGGGGCGAAGAAGGATCGGGGTGGCCCTCTGTCATGTTTTCCTTTCCTATTTCATTCCAGTCAATGGGGTCTATTTTTTGCTCTTGGGTTAAACTTTATGTATGTTTTCCTCAATGCAAAGGAATGGGTTAAAGCATTTATTTTAGTTTTGTGGCCCAGTGCAACTCCATTTACCCAATAGCCAGAACAGTGACAATCTGCCCCTAAGACTGAAGTGGGAAAGCAGTTTACTTGGTTAGGTTAGCCAGGAATTTGCAAAAGAAGATATGCTCACAGAGATACACTCATTTCTCTCTGACCCTCTCTCCTTTCCAGTCGAGGAAGTCTTGTCAAGTATCACTCCCATGCCAAAGCAGGGATGTTAATTATGGTTTATTCAAAATGAGGAACCAGAAGACAGAACACGTTATACTTGTTACACGAACAATAAAGAATATAGGCTGTTTCCAGGATTGTTTTATCAGGAAACAGTGCTCTGATTTTCAGTAAAGTAACAAACACACGAGGTGACCATGGGCTAGGGCAGGCTTTGTTAAAGCTTTTGGTGTCCTGCATTGTCTTGTCCATTTGTTTAGTTGGAGCAGAGGGACAAATGATACATAAGCCACCAAGTGTTTTGAAGGGGCGGAGGTGGTGGAAAATTTAAGAGTAGGCTTATCTCATAATGTATAGAGGAAATGAGATGAACTGCTTCTTCTAGAACTTGTCTTTTTGAGGTTAAATGTCACATCTCAGTATATTACAATGTGTTGCTCCCTTCTGCTTCTTCCCAGGTTCCTAGATAGAACAGAAGAGTTGGCGGTGAGTGTGGCCTTTGTTTCAGTTGGGGACCTGTTTACCAGACAACTAAGCCAACACCCAGCCTTCGGGATCTCAGGCTGATGGAACTGTTTCCTTTCCTTTGTATTGATTATATTCAGAAGAGAGAGATGCTTGAAAAGTTAATCCAAATGGTGTGCTGCATTTTTGCTTTTTACATGATCTCTTGGTAATATGTGTATATATATATATATATGCACATACTTTTTTTTTTTTTTTTTTTTTTGTCTTTTTGAGACAGGGTTTCCCTGTAACCCCAGCTAGACTGGAACTCACTATGTAGACCAGACCAAGCTGGCCTTGATCTCACAGAGATCTGCCTGCCTCTGCCTCCTGAGTGCTGGGATAAAAGGTATGCATACCATGACTAGCTCAAGAATAGTATTTTTAGTGAATGAAAACTGACTTGATCTATAATTTGTTTTACAGTTCTTTATGAGTCCTGGTTTGGAGGAGCTCATGGGTTTAGACTTGTAACCCTGTAGAAAACTGAAGGTTGAGAGTTAAGAAACCAGACTATAGGTCAGTAAAGATGATAGGTCAGGCTAGTGGTGCTCTCAAACACATTTTGGCTGAGGGAGGTCAATGAATAAGAGTGAATGTTGAATTTCGACAGAGTTTTATAGTTTTAGAATGAGCTCTAGGAGTATAAGAAAATTTTTGAAATTTTACCAAAAACCTTTACTTCAGATTAAGACTAAGCCAGTCCCGCTGTTGATGGCTCCTTTCTTGCCAGGCCAGCCACACATTTGCAGTGCTGCACTTTTCATAACATTGTTAGAGCTAGGTGTCTTAGTTTCTTTCTGTTGCTGTGATAAGCACCATAACCAAAGCACCTTGGAGAAGAAAGTGTGTATTTCCTCTTTTACAATCCACCATCAAGGAAAGCCAAGACAGAAGCTTGAAGCAGGAACCATGGAGAAATGCTGCTTTCTGGCTTGGTTCTTCTGGCCCACTCAGCTACCTTTCTTATACAGCTCAGACTCACTGCCTAATGGCACTTCTCACAGTGGCCTAGGCCTTCGTATGTCAATTCACAATCAAGAAAATGCCCCATAGGCCAATCTGATGGAAATAATTCCTCAATTGAAGTTCTCTCACCCTAGGTATGTCAAGTTGACAACCAAGACTAGCCATCAGACCAGTGTGGCAGTTCATACCTGTAATCTTAGTACTTGGGAGGCAGCAGCAGGTGGATCTCTGTGAGTTTGAGGCCAGCTTATTCGATGTAGTGAGTTCTTGACCAGCCAGGGCTACCCTGTCCCTTGTCTCAAAAAGCAGTTAACCTTTGCACAATAGAATATTATTCAGGAGAATGTTTTCTAGTAATGTACTTTATTATTTTTATTTTATGTGTTTGAGTGTATTGCCTGCATGTGTGTAAATGCACCCGTGTTGTGTGGTGCCTGCGGAGGTCGGAAGAAGGCATCAGATCACCTAGAACTGGAGTTACAGATGGTTGTTAGCTGACATGTGGTGCTGGGAACCAAATCCTGGCTCTCTGCAAGAGCAGTCAGTGCTCTTAACTACTCAACCATCCCTCCAGCCCTGTATTTTCTAAAAGGAAATTATATATAATTCAAGCCTTGGGAAAATTTGAAAAGCCCTTGATCTTTTTTTTTTGAGACAGAGTTTCCCAGTAGCCCCAGCTCATTGACCAGGCTGACCTTGAACGCACAGAGATACACCTGTGCGCCACCATGCCTGACAAAATTCTTGATCTTAACCTACTGAAAATAACCAGTAGTCAAAGTAGTCATTTGAAGAGCTTTTTTTTACATTTTCAATCTCTATGGATTCAAACCAATAAAGAATTTTCTTTACAGGGAATTCTTGAAGAGCTTGTTGTTTTGAGGTTTGATTAATGAGAAGAAGCATGTTTTGGTTAACATTTTTTTTTTCCCAGAGCTGAGGACCGAACCCAGGGCCTTGTGCTTGCTAGGCAAGTGCTCTACCACTGAGCTAAATCCCTTCTTTTAAAATTTTTATCTTTTATTCGTTACTTTTTTTAATTGTGTGTGGTATATGAGTGTACAGGTGTGTGCGCATTGTACAGGTGTCTGTGCATATGGAGGTCAGAGGTGAACATTGGATGTCTACCTCCACTACTTTACAGTTCATTTTCTGAGATGGGATCTCGGTGATTATGGAGCTCGCTGTACCAACCAGTGTGGTTGGCTAGCAGTCCCAGGGATCACCATTTGCTTTGTTTCACGTGGTGTTCTGGAGATCTGAACGGACATCCTCATGCTTACATGGCAGGCATTGTACCCATCGAACCATCTGCCCAGCGCCTTGGGTAACTCATCTAAAACTTTCCATGTGTTTAGTTGAATATGGCATTTCATGCATGTTGTATATAAATCTATAGTTTTCCAGCCTTGTAAACTTTGAAAGTGACAGAGCTGATTGCTTACTTTTAGTTTATCCTCCTAGAATGTGAAGATTTCTTAAGCAAATTTTTCCTTGCAAGACTTATGCTGACATGGAATTGATACATAATATATTAGTTTTAGATCATTTTTGTTCTGATTTGTGTTTTTTTTTTTTATGGTACTAGAGAGATTGAACCCAGGGTCTCCACATGTAAGCACTCTATCACTGAGCTAACATCCCCAGCCCTAACTATAAATTTATTTATTTATTTATTTATTTATATTTTATGTGTATGAGTGTTATGCCCGCATGTGTGTAAGTGCACCCATGTCATGCCTTGCCCACTGTGGGCAGAAGAGGGCATTGGATCCCTTGGAACTGGAGTTAGCTGCTATGTGGGTGCTGGGATTCAAACCAGGATCTTCCACAAGAACAGCTAGTGCTCTTAACCACTGAGCCTTCTCTCCAGCCTCCTAACTATAAATTTTAAAGGTTATTTTCTTTAGTATTAAAATGATATTTTAAATATTTCAGATATTTTATGAAGCTTAAATTATAAAATATAATTATTACTTGGTCTTATTTATATTTTTATATACATTTTTTCTTTCATTTATGTGTGTGTGTGTATATATATATATATGTATGTATATGTGTGTGGATACACCTGCCACAGCACACATATAGAAGTCAGAGGATAACTTTCTGGCATCTTTACACTTTGCTGTGGGTTCTGGGGATCAGGTTTTCAGGCTTGGCAGCAGCATCTTTACCTACTAAGTCATCTCATGGACCCACATCTCTTAGTTCTAAAGAATATGTTTCCTGGGCTGGAGAAGTGGCTCAGTGGTTAAGAGCACTGGCTGCTCTTGCACAGGACCCAGGTTCAGTTCCCAGTACCCACATGGGCGCTAACAACCATATGTAATTCCAGTTCCAGGGGATCTGAGGCCCTCTTCTGACCTCTAAGCACTGCATGACATGGGTGCACTTACATACATGCAGGCAATACACTCATACCCACAAAATAAAAATAATAAGTTTTTTTTGGTCTTTCTGAGACAGGGTTTTCCTGTAACCCCAGCTGGCCTGGAACTCGCAGAGATCCACCTACCTCTGCCTCCTGAGTGCTGGGATTAAAGTTGTGTACCACCATGCGCAGCTAAAAAAGAATATTTTGCCAGGCATGGTGGTACATGCCATTAATCTCCATACTTTGGAGGCAGAAGTGGATGGATCTCTGCGAAACTGAAGCCAGCCTGGTCTCCATAGCGTATTCCAGGCCAGCTGTGGCTACAGGGAGACCCTGTCTCAAAAAGACCAAAAAAAAGAATATACTTCCTAAAGCTATTTCACATCAGTGTGTTTATTTTTCTATTTATCAGTGTGCTTTATTTTTCATATCAATTTATTTACCTGTCAGTCTGTTTTATATTTCCATTTTTAATAATTATATATAAAATTACAGTTTTCATAAACGTCACTCATTGTGGGACTGGTGAGATGGTTCAGTGGGTAAAGGTACATGCTACCAAGTCTGAAAACCTGTGTTCAGTCTTTCAGACCCACATGGTGGAAGGAGAGAACCAACTCTTGAAAGTTGTCCTCTGACCTCCACATGCACTTTGTAGCACATGCACATAGATACACAAATAAATAATGAAGAAATGTAACAATAAAATAAATTTCCGATTATTGCATCATTTAACTCTTAGAGTAACATTCATTATACCATTTAACTTTTTTTCTCATGTATGTGTGTTTGCATGTGTGTGGGCACGTGTGTGTGTGTGTTTGGGGTGCACATGCATGTGCATGAGTGCATGTGGAGTTCCGAGGTTGACATCTGATGGCTTCCTCCAGATTCTGTCTAAAAAAACCAGAAGGAAAAAAATAATTTCTGCATTGATAGAGCTATTCTCTATTTGTGCTGTCTGATATGTTAGTTGATAGTTAACTGTATTGTTTAGTACTTAAAAACTGGCTACTAGCTGGGTGTGGTGGCCCACACCTTTAATCCTGGCACTTGGGAGGCAGAGGCAGTCAGATCTCTATGAGTTTGAGGCTAGCCTGGTTTACATAGCATGTTCCAGGCCAGCTGGGGCTACAGGGAGAGTGTCTCAAAAATGCAAAAAAACCCCCAAAAACCCAAAAAACAAACAAAAAAAAAACCCACAAGCAGACAAAAAAACTGGCTACTATAACTAAAGATTTGAAACTTTATTTTTATGTCTATGAGTGTTACCTACATGTATGTAAGTGCACCTGTGTTGTGCATTTCCCACAGAGAACAGAAGAGGGTGTCAGATCCCCTGGAACTGGAGTTATGGATGGTTGTTAGCTGCCAGGTGCGTGCTGGGAACTAAACCTGGGTCCTTTGCAAGAGCAGTCAGTGCTCTTAACTGCTGAACCATCTTTCTAGTCCATGTACTATTCTTGCAGAGGATCCACATTTGATTCCCAGCACCCGTGTCAGGCACCTCATTCATAACTGTCTGCAACTTCAGCTCCAGGGGATACAACACTAGCCTCTGCACATACCTGTACTCAAGTGCATGCACACACTTAAAAATGGAATAAAATCTATTTTTTTGTTTTTTTAAAAAATATTTTATTTTATGAGTTTGCATGTATTGCCTGCATGTAGGTAAGTGCACCTGTGTTGTGCAGTGCCCATGGAGGACAGAAGAGGCTGTTGGATCCCCTGGAAGTGGAGTTACAGACAGTTGTTAGCTGCCATGTGGGTGCTGGGATTCGAACCCAGGTCTTCTGTAAGAACAGTCAGTGTCTAACTGCTGAGCCATCTCTCCAGCCCCGAAATCTGTTTTTTGTTTTTTGTTTTTTTTTTTTAAAAAAAAAGATTAGGTGGAGAACATTAGAGGAGGACAGCAGATTTTGACCTCTGGTCTCTACGCCCATTCACACACACATAACACACACAGTGTACTTCCACAGCTCTTTCTCCCTCTCCATTTTTTTTCCCTCTCTGTCCCTCCCCTTTGTTCCCTGCCCCCCTTTTGTGGTCTATATAAATTAGACAAGTGTTGAAACACTGGTACCTCTAGTTCCCTCTGTCTCCACAGAGGCACAACAGCTCAAAATTCTGTGTTTTTTTTTTTTTTTTTTTTGTAGCTGTCTCATTATCGAGAGCATTTGAACATTCAAGACCCTGACAAACGAAAAGAATTCCTTAAGACTTGCATTGGGTAAGTATGGGATAGAAGTAGTTTTATGTGGCTGTAATGAAGAGAATAAAAGCGGATGGAATGGAAGGTTAGGGAGGAACTGATATGAATCGCGGGGGTACTGTTGAGGTTGTCTCATTCAGTGCCTCTCAAATACTAGTTTCCAACAAAGTTCACCAATTGGGGGTAACTTGAGAAAAGCAGAGACAAGGTAGAGTCTTTTTCTAAAGCTAAATTTAATTTGAAAGACTGTCTTTTTTTTAGACTTTTTTGAGACAAGGTCTCCCTGTAGCCCCACCTGGCCTGGAACTCACTATGTAGACCAGGCTGGCCTTGAACTCACAGACATCCGCCTTCCTCTGCCTCCCGAGTGCTGGGATTAAAGGCGTGTGCCACCACGCTCGGCTGAAAGACTGTCTTTTATTTGGGGATTTTTGTTCCCACTTCTCCCCTTTTTTGGCAATAAAATGGTGGCAATTTTTTTTTTTTTTTTTGTCTTTTTGACGTAGGGTCTCCCTGTAGCCCCAGCTGTCCTGAAACTCATTATGTAGACCAGGCTGGCCTTGGACTCACAGAGATCCTCCTGCCTCTGCCTCCCAAGTGCTGGGACTACAGGCTTGCGCCACCATGCCCAGCTCCATTGGTGGCAATTTTTTAATGATTTGATGTAATAAAATTAAAAGGCAGCAACTGTTCGTGGACCTTGTACATTATTTGTGTTACTGGTTCTCGAACCCCAAAGTCTCAGAACTGCTGATTTAGTGCAGGGTTTCATCCAAAACATAAATCTTTGTTAAAAAAACAACCAGCCACAGATATTCTTGTTCTGAGGGAATGATGCGTACTGCTCTTGGAAATGCCTTGTTTATCGTTGGTCTGCCTTCATTGTCGGAATGTGCTTCCTGATGTTAAGCTGAGAGTCAGTGTCTTGTACAGGTCTTCAGTCTCCCAGCAGTCCTTGCTTCTTCCAGTTCAGTGTTCACAGTTGCTTTAGCCATTCTTTAGGTGACAAGATTCCAGGGTCTCATTTAGATTTTACTTATATATGTGAAATCCTCAGTTTTCATGTTGCCAGATGTGGAGCTGTGTTCTGTGGCCTCTGGAGAATAAAGAGATAAGTTAGTTTAATGCAGTAACTGGAACCCACTGCTGTCCCTTTTATCTCATAAAAATTCACTCTGGCTCATACTTACCTGGGACATTGTAATTGAATTTCAGGCCTATTCCTGTAGAGGAATAGGCAGCATTTTCTAAAGGATGGATCTATGAACTGAGGGCTGTTCTTGGTCTTCCTTATTGGTATACCATATATCTTTTAGGCAAGACCCTGTCCCTCAATATCTTCTTATGTAGGGGTGTTTGAGAGGGGCTTGGGAGTTTGAGACAGGTTCTCATGTACCTTGGACTAGCTTTGAAGTTGTTGTGTAGTCAAGAATGACCTTAATCTCCTGAACCTCCTACCTCCACCTCATAAGTGCTGGGATTACGGGCATGTGCCACTATGCCTGGCTCAACACAGTTTTGAAGATGGAACCCTTGGCATTTGTGTAGATCTGTTCAGTCTTTCCCAATTTGTCGGCCTACCACTGTGCTCTATAATTAGCTTTTTATTACTCTGCACTAAAAAGAGCTAACAAATTCAGTAGGGTTCAGCAAAGATGAGGCACAGAGCTCTGTGGACATGTGGATGATAGGCAGTTGGCTATGCTCACTTACTAGCTTTACCCATTCACCAAACATCCAGCTTTCCCAATAAAATGATTCTTAGTTATTCCAAAGCAAAATTAGCAACAATTAAGCATTTCGTGGACTTTTAGGAGTTCCCTCTTGAGTTTGTAGAATTTCTCCCGCCCCCCCCACTCCCTTTGAGATATGGTCTCATGTAGCCCAGGCTGGCCTTGAAATCTTACATAGGCAAGGATAGCCTTGAATTTCTGAGCCTCCTGCCTCCAACTCAAGAGTGCTAGGATTACAGGCGTATGCCGCCCTGCCTGTTTTATGCAATTCTGGAGATATAACCCAAATCTCCGTGTGTGTTAGGCAAGCATTTCCAATGAGTTATATACCCACAGCTTGAATTGGCAAATCTTGAATATAAAATCCAAGCCAAAGTTCTCCATTTTCTGCTCTCTCTGCCTCTTAAGGGAATTAAAGTGAATTGATCAGACTTGTGAAACACTGTGAGCCTCTTAAAGTTTTAGTGAAATCTTTAGTTGCTCTTGTCTTCCTTTTTGCATAGAGAAAGACTAACCTTGTGGCCCTCTACCAGTTTGCCATTTTCAGCAGAAGATTCTGTGCACATACAAGACCATTACACACTCCTGGAACGCCAGATCATCATTGAGGTGAGCCTCCACGTAGCTGCTTTCTGCTTCAGTGCCCAAGCTCAGAGCCGTTCAGCAGCTGGGACACTTCTTTCCACTGCACATATTTGCCATTTTCTGTTGCGGTCTCCAAGAACCTTTCATCTCCTCCTCGTGTGTACGAGCCACCTTCCTTGACTGCTCTTAGGCATCCTTTTTCTTACCTGCTGTTAACCTGCAAGTATTTCTTCTCTTTAAAAAGAAAAATTATAGCTGGGCTTGGTGGTGCGTGCCTTTAATCACAGGACTTGGGAGGCAGAGATAGGCGGATCTCTGACTTTGAGGCCAGCCTGATCTACATAGTGAGTTCCAGGACAGCTGGGGCTACAGGGAGACCCTGTCTCGAAAAAAAAGAAAATTTATTTTTAAATTTTTTTGTATTTTTTTTTTAATGTGTATAACTGTTTTACTTGTATGTATGTACATGCACCATGTGCATGCAATGCCTACAGAAGCCAGAAGAAAGTGTTGGATCCCCTGGAACTGGAATTACGGGTAATTGTTACCCGCCATGGGGGTGCTGGGTCCTCTGCCAGAGCAGCCAGTGTTTTTTTTTTTGTTTTTATAATTCATTTTTTTTTAAATTTGTTGATTTTTCTTTTGTGTGTGTGTATGTATATCACACAGAACATTCTAAACCATCTTACTCATCTATACAACCACTTCCCGGATGGCACCCTCCCATAGCCTCCTCCCCGCACCAGAGCCCTTCTACTCTGTCTTCTCTGCTGCTGTCTGCTGTGGTGTCGGCACCCCCAGCCATTCCCCACTACTTGTCCATCCGGTGAATCTAGTCAGCCTTTCTAGAGTCTTTGTTTTAAGAAGGTCAGCTGTTCCTCATCTAGCAGCAATCAGTTGTCAATACTCCTTTAGATAAGATTGGGGTCTGTTGTTCATTTTCCCAGTTCTATGCTGGGTTACTATCTGGGAGTCCCTTGGGCCACTCTGGCCAACAACTCAAAAGAAGGTATCTCCTGTCTGGCATTGTTGCTTGTTATGTAGCCTTTAGCTGTGCATATGGACTCTTAAGACATTATATTGGCCCCTTTAATATTTGGTTATACTTTCCTTTTGGGTGTTTAAGGCCATACAGTTGGCCCAGATAAACCAATTTTTTTTTACTCTTAGGCTGTTTGAGGATCTGTTCCTTGGGGGTCACGTGGACTTGGGAGGAGCTCCTGGCTCCTTGTTTTACCAGCTCCGCCTATGTGAAGATAACTCAAAGATCCTGTTCAACCATGGCTGGCTTCGCTTGGAAGCATGGAGGAAATGATTCCTCTGTGTTGACCCTCCTCTTTGTAGACTGGACACTGGTTCAAGTCCATCTGGTGGGATCTCCTCAGCCTCCTTGATCAAGAGGACAGGTGACCCACCACATTTACAAGACATTTTGAGAGATGCTCATAGTTCCCTGGAACTGGTCGACCTAGGAGGGCAAGGAGCAAAAATTGTCCTTTATGTCCCTCTGACCAAATTAGTATAGGCCTCAAAGTATGTCTCTTAAACATCCAAGAAGGTTAGTTCCACCAGTCTGGTACTTTAAATTACTGTGTGCCATGTAGATAAATCTTGGGCAAAGACCAGTTGTTCTCAGATAAACCTTGCCTAGACATATATCTATTGATCTGCTATGTATAATTTGTAAGTAGGTTGTTGGACTAATATGCTTCCCTCTGGTTTTTAAAACTAGCTAGGTATTATTTATCTCTCACATTGTCTCAACCCTCCATCATGGCTTTCCCACTTAAGGTACCCCCATTTCCCCCCTTTCTCCCTTAATAATACCCTTCTCCTATGGTCCTACCTCTCTTGATCTCCTTCTTTCCCTTTATCCCCTAGGTTCCTTGTATACCCTTCCCTCCCCACCTCTCTTAAACTAACCCAATTTCTATCCATATTTCCCTTATTAAGGCCCGTTTCCTACTGTTCTTCTCTTTCAGATTCTTTCTTTTCCTTTACCTCCCTGGTTCCTTTCCATTATCCTAGTTCCTGTAGTTATGTCTGGTTCTAGGATCCACATATGAGGGAGAACATATATAGATTTTTTTTTTCTGAGTCTCTGTTATGTCACTTAGTATAACAGTTCCTAGTTCCATCCATTTACCTGCACATTTCATGATTTCA